TTAAATATGTCCTTTTCAGTTCGAAAAGCAAAGACCAAATTTAGATAGATGTTTCGAAATTTTTTATACGGTTCTCCTATGTATTTTATTGTTTTATAATCTTTTCTAGCAAAGAGGGGTCGTAATATTTAATTCTTTTTCGACATTTTATGTGGAAAATTGTATATTAAGTAGTATGCGGATAAAAGCATATGTGTTATTGCGTCCGTGTGTGAGGGTTTATGGAAAATGGAAAAGTCCGTCTCTATGATAAATTTTATACGGTTATGTATGGAGTTAACATGATTCAAAAAGGACAGCAGTGGTTTCAGTGAAACAAGCAAAAACGTCATCTACATAATATTTTCTACATTATCCACGAAAATTTCTGTAAGTAGTCGACTAAGTGGGTTTCCAATAATTAATCCTTCTTTAGCAATATAAAATTGACCATTAAATTCAATATCATTTTGGTCTAAACAAACTATGAAAATATCTAACAGGTCTAGTTTTATGATAGAGTTGACTTGTCTCTGAGTGAGAATATTGTCTATTATGTTTGTGAATGAAACTAGAATTGACTCAGGAGGAATTTTAATGTCTTTAAACTTGTTAATTAGTTCGAAGGAATTTTTGATAACATTTAAAGTTTTAAAGGCGAAATTTTTATTAATCTTGTTGAAAGTTTAACTGAAGGTCTTGTTTGTTCCAATTTGGCGCCAAATACAAAAAAAAGACACGATAATTATCAACTGATTTAGTCCAGTCGGTGTAAAGTGGCAAAAGAAACAGGATATTAGCAATCGTAATTAGACCGCTTGTCGTTGTTACTAATTTCTGATTGATTTACTCTTTTATTGTAACGGCGGCTGAATTAAACGACCATTTTTTTTCTCCCGCCGTCGTTCTCCGACAACGTGCCTCACTTCGTCAAGTTTGTTTTTTTTTCGTCGTCGCTCAGGACGAAACCTTGAGAACAATATAAAAAAAAGGCAATTAAATCGCTATTCGACTTATAAACAAATAGGTTGTACGTGCGGCCGTTTTCGCGTATATGAATAACATAATATTTTGAAATGAAACGATACACCCAATTAATGCCGCTAAATACGCAACTAGTGCATTTACTGCGTAACCTTGACTTAAAATCACTGACTATGTAAAGGTCTGTTCACGGCGCACCATTTCGTAACGTCACTTAAAAGTATTTTTTGCGAATATCTGGGTAAAAATGTCTTGCCAAATGGAGGAAACCGTAAAAGGTAATCCGCCTCCTGGTACACGCGCTTTGGGCAAACCATTTTACCTCTAAAGGATGGATTAACATACTAAATGTCCCCTGAGTTTCTAAAACTGCCAAAGGCTCATTTTTTTACAGCCTTCTTCAAAGAAAATACCATGTACTGTCATTTGCAGTTTTGAATTTTTTATTATTTGTTAGATAGAAAATAATCTTTGAACCGTTGGTCCAAAAACTCTGCAGTCGCGTTGAAAGCGAAGGATTTCGGATCAAATATCTATATATATACGGATATATCTGATCATTTCATGCAAAAAGTATCTTTTTCTGCACTCCAAGAAAAAGTAAAATCACTAAGTAACGTAGATTGGGCTGCCTTGCGACGCCAGGAGGGCCCAGAGAAGAAAGAGCTTGCGAGATGTAAGTCTGATGATACAATTAATAAAAAGTCATGGTTTTCTAGAGATATTATCAAAGAGGGTTGTTTGCTGAAAGATTTGTACAAAGTCTATAAGAATACAAAAGATATCGACATGTTTTAAAAAAGCTATATCAAAAAAAAAATGCCGATGCAAAGAAATTATACAATAATCATTTTATGTTCGGGCAGTATATCGCAGGCATCTTGACCAGTTATAAAAAAAGAGGCAAACATTCCTACATTTTTTACTGATAACAATAAAACTGTATACAGTCTATTAAGCGACTAACTTCGAGATTTGATTTAAATTTTAACGTAAATTTAGGAAACGGGATTAGTAGAAAGAACCGTATTCGAATGATCAAGGGAAATAATTTTATCCGGTTCTAAAAATCATTCAGCAGGTTTTGATGAAATACCGTGTTCCCTTATTTGTCCGTTATTGATTTACTTGTCGATCCATTAACCTGTTTCATTAACGAATCCTTCTCAGATGGTACACTTCGAGCTATATTTAAAGAAACCATAGTACAACCGATATACAAAAAGAGTAATTTACTTGAAATCTTTAACTATAGAGGAATAGCATTGTTGTCAATATTCTCAACAATTTTGGAGAAAGCTTTTTATAAAAGGCTGTTGGAATTTTTAGAGAAAGTAAGCTTTTTCAGTAATAACCAGTTTCTGTTTCGAAGGGGAGTATCAACACATTTGAATCCAAAACAAAATTTTAAAGCACTCTGTGGAAAATTTACGTTACTAATTTTTTTTTAAAGGTCAATATTCGTTTTTTTTTGTTCATATCTTTATGTGCATCTGTACATTTTTGAGAGCAAAATAAACAGGTATTTTTTTAACAAACCAATTCAACTTCCACTTAAGTAACCTAAGATAACTTTTTTCACCACAAACGAGCAACCACGAGCGATACGACGTCGTTGAAAAAATAAATACATTTCTTTTAAAGTGGTGGCATGTTTATTTTGCTCTTAAAAATGAACCGAGGCACATACAAACAAGAACCGAAATGAACTTTTAACAAAAATTGGCAACGTAATTATACCGCATGCCAATGGTACTATGGTCTTTCTCGACGTCTCGGCTTCTGACGGAGCCTTTACTACAATATACATTAGATAACGGTGAACGTGCTAAACGGTCCACCTTGTATGCGAGAATCTCTAGATTCAAAACCCTAAAAACCTATTTTCGGTGGATCATTGCCTCGAGTACCAAGACAACGACGAATAGCTAGCTAGAGAAGGATCGGATAATTGCAATTTAATGGCTTCTCCTAGCAGCCACGCGAGCTCCAAACAAACAACTAATTTCGATGACGTCAGCAGCGTATCCCAAGGAACATTCTGTCGAAGGAACATTTTGCTAACATTTTTCATTCTTTAAGATGAAAATAATACAGAAATATGGTTAAGTTAATAAAAATAAACGAATTAAAATTGCATAATATAAATTGATTTTGAATTGAATTTTACTGTCCCATTTTAAATTTTCTTTGCGTTGGGCAAGTGTCCATAACAAGCTTGCCCAGTAAAAGAAAGGAAGAAGGAGACTATCTTTGAACTTATGTCACAATCGGATGAAAACAATTAAACAAACGCGATCGGTGATAGTAGCCTTGCCCTTGATCGGTAAAAAGTACATTATTACAATTTGTTTTCCGAATAATTCTTCAATTTTTTAATATAGCATAAAACAAAAGTGTTATGATATAAGCAATTCCTCGAACACAAAAAAGGACCATGGAAATTAATTGAATATGGGAGCTGCCTTAAATTATACGAGCTGTCGCGTTTCTCAAAATGTGGCATTATTTTATATTCATAAATTCCTGGTAAGTCGATCGAATGTGTCTAAATACCGGAAAATTGCTGAAAAAACAATAATCCCGGTGGGATTTCCCAGGTGTTTACAAACTTTTACATTTGTTGACAATAAATATTCACTATATCTTCAATTGGATAGGTCAGTATAGTGTTTTTTTTTATAACAACAATAATTTAATCATTCTAATGAATTGACAACAACGCACGTTACATTTAGTACTCGAGTAATGTTTTTTTGTAAAGGCGAGTTCATATTTTAAATACGTAGTCGACAATTAAAGTTTAAATAATAGCTTGTTTTCGATAACAACCTGATAACATTTATCATAGACCTTCACACACAGACACAGTCATACATAACACCTCAAATCACTCTTATACACACAAAATGGCTGCATTTCACTCTTTTATACACAGACTTCTTAATACGCCACTCTCAACAGCAAATTACAACAAAGAACTTAATATCATTAGATAAATTGCACTGAACCACGGCTACAATACGTCCATTATAGATAAAATTATAAATAAAAAACAAATCCAGACAACAGTAAACTCTATTTATCCGAAACCTAATACAGAACACGAACAATTTAAAACAATTACATACATAGGAGAACCCAGTGAAAAAGTTTCAAAACATTTGTCAAAATTTGGTTTTAAAATAGCTTTCAGAACTAACAACACAATAGGAAAATTTAAAAAAAAAAACAACAATAAAACGAAATATCCAAAATTTCAAAAATCAGGTGTCTACAGGTTTAAATGCGGATCTTGTCCTAAAATTTATATTGGACAAGCAGGTAGATCCTTCAAGAAACGTGTTGACGAACATAAAAGAGCGTTTAAAAACAATAGTCTAGATTCGAATTATCCTACACACTTAAACACCGGAAAACACATTTTTGACGACAATTTTAATATTTTACATACAGCCACAAAAAGTAGAAAATTAAATTTATTGGAAGCCACGGAGATTAACAAAATGAAACATTCAAGATCAATTAGATTTAAATACTACTCACTTATTGAACTTAAATTCTGACAACAACATTAATTAAGGTTTTATGGCCATTTTTCGGTATATATAGTAGCAAGTAGTTTGTAAATATTACATATGATAAAGACACGGTGTTGTCGAAACAATTGTCACGTGAATATATATAATTTCGTGAAAATCTGAACTCTTGGTTCTTATTTATCTTGATAAATGGATTTCCATCAAGTAAAAGCCACCTCAGTTCAACTATTATACACGTATATTTTCGAAAATTTCGATTTTACCGTTCTTAAGAAAAAAAAAAGAACGACTAAGTCGTCGTTGAAACTTTTCCTTATTAACCGTGGGACGTCCCGTATACCCGTGTGTCAGACATTTCTTCCGTTCCGAAAAATCTCCGCTTTTCGCCGGAAAACGGCGGAAAAAACCCACGCATGTCCTCGGCCAGAATTCCCCAACGCGCCGAAGAACGGTGGAGCAGAAAAGCGAGTTTTCAAATATATATGGGCGACGCTCTGCGAAACTTCAGTTCGCGTTCGTCCAGCGGTTCGCGACAAGCGGATTCTCGTCCGCGCAGACGTAGCTTATCGATCACTTGACTCCGCGGCTCTTTCTTCGGTAACAGTGTAACCGACCCCCCACCACCATGGCCGCGGTAAACGGTTCGAGCGCTCCTCAACAACAAAACGGCAAGAAAGCGAACCACCAGGTACTGGCGCGTACCTGGGATCACCTGGACGACGGCGAGGCGCCTGGTACTCCCAAAACTCCGAGGACTTCGACCACCCCAGGTATACTTGCACCAGAAATGTGGTGCTTTGGCTTATATTTTCACCATTTCTTCGAGAGGGGCATCTTCCCCATGATACATAAAAAATTTCTCCAGCAGCTTGTTTAATGGTTGGTGGTGCTCCCAGATCAACTTTTTCATCTTCTTCTTGTTCTTGTTTCCTCTCTCAAGTCTGCAGTTGTAGGCAAATCCTGATCTATCACCATAAAATCTTGCAACTCCTCACTAACCTTATGCATACCTAAATGCAGGATTAGATGAACACTTGTATCAGAAAGCTGAGTAATTTCTGAGATTTCCTTGACCTTTAAACATCGATCACTCAATACCACCTCTTCCACAGTGGTCGACCAGTTCTTGAATCATCTTCAAAGGACTCCTGCCCCATTGGAAAACGTTTTGCCCACTCTTTCACTACAGAATACGAAGGAGAACTTTGGCCGTACACACCATCCAGCCTTTCTTTAATAATTTTAGGTGCTAACCCTTCTTTTGTCAAAAACTTTATGACTGCTCTATCGTGATACTGGAGCTGCATCTATGTCAGGCCGGGAAATTTAGGCGCTAACCTCGTAAATATAAAAAAATTAGACTCTACTTTTGAGTGGGGGGGGGGGCATTTCAAATATCCACTTTTTTGTTTTAACAAAAATTCATTGTAAAAGATGAACCAAATTACTTGTCCCTTATGGGATACATCGCAAAATCAAAACAATAGTGTAGAAAATTTTGATCAATATGCAAAAGAAACGGCAAACTTATGTATAGTTTTGTATGGGTGGTACTATATGGTGCCGATATTATATAGATTTTTTTTTATTTCCCTGCCGCCGCGCAGAAGTGAGAAGCAAACATTTCTGCCATTATAGGGGGTGTTTTTTTCGATGTATAGAACTTTAAGTTGCAATAAAACGACGATGGGTTATTCGATTGACATGAATTTTATTTATCCGAAAGATAATCTTGTGGCTTTACATTTTAAATATGATTTCTGGCATATGACAGCCACGGCTGGCGCGGATGTAGTCCAATCTGGGCGTCCAATTTTCGATGACTTTTTCCAACATTTGTGGCCTTATATCGTCAATAACACGGCGAATGTTGTCTTCCAAATGGTCAAGCGTTTGTGGCTTATCCGAATAGACCAATGACTTTACGTAGCCCCACAGAAAGTAGTCTAGCGGTGTCAAATCACAAGATAAAAACCTGAAATTAGGCGGTCACCAAACGTGTCTTTCAATAAATCGATTGTGGCACGAGCTGTGTGACATGTTGCGCCGTCTTGTTGAAACCACATCTCCTGAACGTCATGATTATTCAATTCAGGAATGAAAGAGTTAGTAATCATAGCTCTATACCGATCACCATTGACTGTAACGTTCTGGCCATCATCGTTTTTGAAGAAGTACGGACCAATGATTCCACCAGCCCATAAAGCGCACCAAACAGTCAGTTTTTCTGGATGTAACGGTGTTTCGACATACACTTGAGGATTAGCTTCGCTCCAAATGCGGCAGTTTTGTTTGTTGACGTAGCCATTCAACCAGAAGTGCACTTCATCGCTAAACAAAATTCGCTTATGAAAATCGGGAACAACGGCAATCTCGTTTTGCTTCAATTCATGCACGAGTTGGATTTTGTAAGCACGCAAACCAAGATTCTTCCACAAAATCTTCCATAAAGTGGATGGACACAGATCCAATTCCTGTGCTCGATGGCCGATGGACTCATTCGGGTCTTCCTCAATGCTACGCTCTACAGCAGCAATAGTTTCTTCTGTACGCACCGGACGGCGCCTCTGGGAATGCGCGTTATCAATAAGAGTAAACGTGGTGCGAAAACGTTCCATGGTTAATCGAATTAACTGCTCTGTGGACGATTTTGTCGACGATAAAATGGACGTAGTGCGCGACACGTATTCCGCACAGAACCATTATTTTCGAAATAAAATTTTACTATTTGCAAGCGTTGTTCAGGCGTGAGTCTATTCATGATGAATTGCCAAACCAAACTGAGAATAAATCACTTGACAGCTGTTAAATCGGTCGCCATCTTGAACAGTAATGCCAACTTAAAGTTCTATACATCGAAAAAAAACGCCCTTTAGATAGTTTCACTATACAAACGAAGACATTTTATTATATTAATTATATTAATGTAAAAACTTTTTGGAAACAGAGACACCAATTAAATTTGCTTTTTCGTTTTTTCTTTTACGTCTTTCTATAGCAGTCTTTGAATCCCGGATTTTAAAATTTCATTGAAGCAGAATATTTTGATTTATACCGTCGTTAGCCAAGTATCTTCAAGTTTGGTTTAGGGGTTTAGATGATGAACCTCAACAATTTGTTTTAATAATACCCTCTACATATAAATAGGTTGTTCGAAACTGAAATGATGTAATGTAATGATGTGCCTTTAACTTGTATGTAAAATTTTGAGTAAAAGATCGTTAGTTGAACGTTTTACACTTATATCTAACGAAATAATGAGCTATTAGTGAAACACAGTGTTCCTATACTGTGGGGCGAAAAGTTTGGAATTTTCGGCCGATTTTTGCGGACGAACGCGATTTCGCTATCAGAAGCGTGTTGTAACGACATGATATCGCGACTTATTATTTTGATTTAAATTACTACAACGTGACCTAACGGAAACATTCGGTTGGGCAATAACACGTCTACAGGGGGTATCCCAAAAGTATTACTAATTTCGTAAACTTCGAAAACAAGCACTGCTTCCGTTGTTTTTACCGTAGGAAACGATCATAATGGAAGAACCAGGGCAAAATTAGTTTAAGCATTCCTCGGTGTCACTTGTTGATGCGGAATCTGCCGTACTATATTTTCCGATAATTTGCACATGTGCATATTTTTTTACAAATTGTGTTGTGGTTGTTTGTGCAAACTGTTCAGACCGAGATCAATTTTTTTTTGCAGTGCCAGCTATTCGAAAGAACAAACACCTAAGAAAAACAGTTACACTTAGACCAGAATTATATTGTTTTTAGTGATTAACTTTGCCTACTATTTACTCACCGCAGTCCCTTATAGAACGCTCTGACGAGCAGGGTGTTATCTACCTACACTAACAAGCGGGATACAACCTTTTTCGCCGAGTTCTTATTGCTGCTCCCACTATTGAATTTCTTATAAAATTGTAAACCTTGAAAACAATTTGTTTAGCATCAGAAGGCAAATGGATGTATGGTGGTATCCGGGTGTTCATCCGTTCGTTGTTTGACCCTGGAGTAGGATCATTCGCCTGACGTTTCGCCAAAATATCACTTGGCATCTTCAGAGGCCGCGCGTCCATGTCACTCGCACGTGTCCGCACTTAAACTGTTTAAAATTGTTAAAACCGTTGAAAAATTTCAAGTTCCTAGGGTCATACGTTACGGTCCATCTCAAGCAAGACCTACTTAATGCAGAATAAACTGTTGGGATGGGTTTTACCACGGTCCTGCGAAGGTGTACGGTTAAGGTACTGTAAAACACTTAAAACGTGCGTGCACTATATTTTTGGTCGTATTATACGAAGGTGGAAGGAGGCAATACCAATGGCCCGGCATTGACGATTTTTCAAAAGTTTGATTTCAACTGTCAAAGCAATAAATACACTATAATTTTGGTCGTACAATAACGGTACATGTTTTTTGGAAAAGATAACAATCTGACTTAAAAATTTGAACAGCAAAGTTTTGCAGCCAAAAAAAAACTTATGATGATACTTAAAATAGAAACAAATGTAAGGGAATATTATACTGGCTTTGAATGGTTGAGATGGCATACTTCATTTGTTAATATTTGAAAATAAAACGTACCTCAACATGAATTTGCTTTAATCAGTTGATCCTGACCCTTATGAAATTACATGGTTTTATAGTAGCACCCACTTTTAAGACAAAGCCAGATTCAAAGTACTTATAGGCTTGCAACTCTTAAGAGCTTTCATCTGCTCCTTGGTGTAAAAGATACGGGAAAACGCCAAATAACTTATAATATCCACATTGGTGACCGGTGGAACTCCATTAAATAAACAGTCCATGTCTAAAATAAATGAATCTAAACCATCATCTGATACCTACAATAAACATTTCTGATTTTTTTAATATCTGGATTTCCTTTTAATGATTTCCTTCAATAATGACTGTCCGTCTCGAAATAACACAGACAATAGAACGCTGCAAAAATTAGGACTAAATTATACAGAATCGAATGTCACATCGAAATCAACTTGCAAAAGTTGGTGCGAGGGATAAATATACGTTCATTTTTTTATCAGTGTTGCTATCAGAAAAGGAAAAGCAAAGTTACAAGAGTTACAAGTTACGAAAAATCAATTTTTTCTTTTGCTTCCAATATGGACGATTACTAGTCCCTTCCGTTTTCCTGAAGGCATTCAATCCCAGTTGATGAAACTTTTGGCTGGTCATATTTTTGTCTTGGTACTAAATGACCAACACTAAAGCTTTTAACCATAAGGTTCTTTGTTAACGAACCGGAACCTTAACCCATATTATCCCAAGCATAAAAAAAATAAAAAATGCTTTTTTGCTCTGAAATTATCTATTTTGTTGCACTTAAGAATACATTTCTTGTGTCAAAAAAAATAAAAATAAAAAGTCGAAGCATACAAAAAAATACTAGTGCGTAAACGAACCACTGGGAAAAAACATTAAATAATAATTTGGGGCACATAAGATGTAACATATAATTTAGTAAGTAGATTGTTTTCCAAATTAAACCTGATTCGATACAAAAAAAACGCCTAATATTTTATGGTGCATGAGCGCACCACTGGTAACACCCGGTTTCATTTTTGGTGATATTTTACAAGATATGAAGTATATAAATGCACATTACACTTAGTACAAATGTAAATTGTGTGGCTGTGGCAGATTCTCCATCCCCTTCGGGCTTCATTAGCATGAACAATCATGTGACCTTGATTATCATAACGGACTTCATCTATGGCAGGTGCAAGAGCAATTTTAAAAGTCGCAAAGCAATGTAAGATTTAAAATCAAATCAGTCACTTCGTCATCAAAAAACTTATAAAATATTTCAAGCCGAGTTTTTCCAGAAAGTCTATTTTTTAGTTCCTCACATGATCTAAATTCATCGGATATAGGTATGTGAGTATACTCAGTCTGACCTGTCGTTGCAGAAAGCATACGTCTTCTTTTGAATTCCAGGGTTTCATCATCTGATGAGTCCTATTCAGGTTCACTAGTTGATGAATTACAGGACTGTTGAAGAACAGCTGTATCATTCGGTGTATGTAACTCGAAAGTTCCAACTATATCAGTTGGTTTCCCAAACTCTTGTAGATTTATGTTATGTTCATATCTTCTTCGTCAGTCAAAGTATCCACGTCGGGTGTGCATAAATTTACAAGAACTGGAGTGCTACAATACACAAGAATACGTAAATCCAAATAGTACTTGTGACTTTCGTTGTTATTGTACTCATCCATCACGATCTCCTCCATAGCCGCCTCTAATTCCTATTGAGTCCAATACCTGGAAAATGCCATATTTTACGAACTGTAACGTTCACTACACAAGGCACAAACTAATACTAAAGAACACGCTAATTGTTGGATGTTTATTCTACATACGCTGACTTGTCTAGACTTGCAATAACAAAGTTTTGTTTCACAGATATAACCAGTGGTGCATTCACGCACCAGTAATTTAAAAAAAAAGCATAATCAATATAGTATTTCCAATGGCAATACAAATCCAAAATTTTTTTTTACTATTTTGGATTTACCTGAAAATGTGATTCAAATTTATGTACCGCTTTCGTTTACTTTTGAAGTCATGTATAAGATCTTTCCTTTACACATAAATTAGCGATTTCCACGATTTTATGTCCTTTAGTAGTGATAATAGTAAAATTTCTAAATGGATGTGCAAAAATATTTCCTGGATGTGACGAAAAAAATCATAGAATAGGCGGTGCATTAAAGCACCACTGGGACAAAATGGGTTAATGTGCGCGTGTCTACAGAAGTTTTTGCGTGAAGTTCAAGGACGGCTGTCCGCTTAGAAAAAAGTTACGTCAGTATGAAAGTGTCCAACGATTTTAATGTCAACGTACTCCAATCGTTCTCGCGTTTGTACCTTTCTTGTTAATTCAGTGGAAAAGCAAGAAGTTTTACGTTTTTCCCGTCTTTTTTCAGGGCACGAAAAGTGCACGTTTCACCACGACCTCGAGCTCGATCACAAGCCGCCCACGAGAGAAGCTCTACTGCCGGAAATGTCCAGGTCCTACAGGCTCTTGCTGGGCTCCTTGGGTGAGAACCCCGATCGACAGGGTTTGCTCAAAACGCCGGAAAGAGCCGCGAAGGCGATGCTATTTTTCACCAAAGGCTACGACCAGAATCTCGAAGGTTGGTGTCAGGTTAGATTATGTACCATCTTGTACATCAATTAAATATAACATTAGAAATGTACAAAACATATTTTAATGTATGAATCTAGACATTTACGCACTAAACTTATAGTCGCAGAACTCACTGAAGTTGTGAAAAGCGAGTGAAATTATGTAATTTTGTCAGTTCCAACTTATTTTGAAAGAAAATAACAACGGACAGTACTGTTCAGTAACATACAGACCATAGCTCTTTTGATTTCTTTCACAAAATGTATACAACTTATTGGGTTTAATGTTTATATTTAGAAATGTAACTACAGTTCTTATCCCTCAATACGGTTATCCTAAAATTTTTTGAAAAAGCGTGTCTAATTATACAGAAACAGAGTCTGTAAAATTAAACACGTTTCTATCACAACCACAACCACAATCATTAATGAAAATGAAGCTTAATTAACAGAAGGAACAAGAATGTAAGTCCTCTGCCACCTCTTCTGTCTTTTTAACACATTTTTAATTTTATTTAGGGCTTTTGGTAGTTCATGAAATATTTTTATGGCTATAAAAGATTTTGTTAATCTTTTAATTATTTGGGAGAAGACTATTTGAGCTTCCCCCAGCGTCCCTTCCATATCAGCTTCGACTAATCCGCCTTTACTAAAATTAGATAATAGATCAAGTATAGTGTTTTTCCCTTCACGATATCCAAATTGACAATTAGAGTCAGTCTCTCATAAGGTACTTGTTTCAGATTATCTAGTGGATCATAATCGGTATTTACCCTTTCCCTGAGTAGTGAGTGAGCGATACTTGTGGAGCGATAATTAAGATAATGTTTTGAAGTTTTGGCCTTGTCTCTCAGTGAGTTTACAATGTCCCAAGTACTTCTGGCAGGATTTAAAAAGATTTATAGGCCATTACATCAGTTTGGTTTGGAATCTTTACATATCGCGTATAATGGCTCAAACATTTAACTGCCGTTGATAATGTTACCATTGAGTAGAAGAAATCTTGAAGACACGTTAACTAACTAACCAACCAAACCAAACCCCAAACATGGCAGCAGCGATTTGCTGCCTATTTGAAGGTGTCAAAATCACTTCTTGAGGACAAGTTAACTAACTAACCAACCAAAACGTGGCAGCATCATCACCAGCAATTTACTGCCTATTTGAAGCCTGTGCCAGGCATAAACTCGTCCTGAGCCGCCTGTATCTGCATGTGATGCTCTTGAGCGAGTTCGTCCTTTACTTCTCACTGCATCTATCCATTTATTATTAGCAAGATCTCCTGCTGCGTTCCATTTCACTGTGGTTATTCTTTTTATGGCATCCTACATGCCAGTAGCCTGGATTTTAACAAATAAGCCTCTGGCAATTCGTATGTCCACACCCGAACTTTTCAAAAGACGGTTCGTAGTCTTTGTGTGTCGGAGAGAATAGTTGGTTAAAAAACATCTTCAAATGTTCCAAAAGCTAGACAAGTCAAAGGAAGCTCCCACGTTGGATGAGGTGTCTCTGTCTCTTTTTAATTTTAAACAGTTCCACCACGAACACGAAATAAATATGTCCGATCCATCGGCGCAAATTAAAAATGTCTGCGCTACACGGAACAGAAGGAGGCAATTTGGAGCCATTGTCCTCGCATTACCGCATAATCGAATGCTGTCGGGGTTGTATCTCACAAAGCGAACACGCTAAATACGGAGCGGGCAAGCAAGATTCCGGCCGAACTAATTTCCTTCTTCCAGAACCCAATTACACGGCTTTCATCTTGATCGAATTATGCAACAGGCGCGACTCTAAAAGTCGTCAAAGCCTTCTGTGCGAAACGAGGCTCGTAGGAAACGTAGCCAGTTTCTCGCTTTGTTCATATTCCGTGAGTGCCTAAAATATAAGTCAAGTATACCCTGTGGAATTTATTTTGTCGTTAGTTTTACAGAACGTTTATAAAGTCAAGATTTTCTTTACTGCCAGAAAAATTAAAATTAATCTAATTTATTTACAATTTATCAGTTATACGAGGAAGAAAGTGTGCCTACATTAGTTATCTTAATATCTTAATTAGGAGACTTGAAAAAGGCTTGAAGCCGGTGTTAAATGTGGCAGAACTACCTTTTTTGATTTAAGAAAATTGACAAAAGGCAAGTTTTAATGGAATCTTTTAGAATTCGGAAATGGCGACTGGAATATCTAGAAAAAATTAGAATTTTAAGAGAGCAAAGGCCATATTATTTACTTGGATGAAACCTGGTTCGACACTTATTCGACTAAAACCGTTGACAAGCCTACTGAACCGACAACACAAGGGTTATAATCTGAAACGAAACGGTATAGAACTGACCAATATGTGGTACACAAAACTGCAAAGAACGCGGCAACTGAGACGTATTTTAAAAGACTCAGAAACATCTTAAAATCGGAGCTGTCAGCAAGAATTGGTACGTTTCGCAGTAAATGCGTATGTGACGTCGGTGCTGCCGTACACATTTGAGATTTTAAACTGGACAGATACAGAAGTAAACGAAATCAACATCCAAACCAGAAAAGAGTTTTGCAGTTTTGTCTGCAGGACCACTGGAGAAACCGAAAGCTAGATCAAGGGACCAATACCTTGGTAGACTCGCCCGGGCTAAGTAAAGATTCCTCCCAGGGAGTGTAAAAAGCTATAATAATAATAATAATAATAATAGCACTTTATTTCCAACAGGTAACATGATCCAATTACAGGAAATATTAAATATAACTAACTAACTATTGGGTTGTTCGGAAAGTCATTTCGTTTTTTTTTGGGGAACATGAAAGACAGTTTTCGTATAATGAATAAATATTTTATTAAATTATATATTGGCCATTCTGGTCCAACACCTTTTGCCATCTTTCTGGCAGTAACATAATTCCCTTCTCATAAAAGTTTTGGTCCTTGCTGGCAAAAAACTGGTTCAGGTGGTTTTTGACATCTTCATTTGAGGTAAAGGTTTTGCCATCTAAAAAATTTTGCAGGGACCGGAACAAATAGTAGTCGGAAGGCGCCAGATCTGGAGAATATGGTGGATGTTGCAGTACGTCCCATTCAAGCTGTAAAAGTTTTTGGCGAGTGACCAAACTTGTGTGAGGTCTCGCATTATCCTGGTGGAACACTACACCCTTCCTGTTGATTAATTCGGGCCTCTTCTCTTTAAGTGAATCATTCAATTTGTCCAGTTGATGACAATAGACTTCTGAATTAATCGTTGTATTGTCCGGCAAAAGCTCAAAAAAAACGATTCCTTTGACATCCCACCAAACGGAGAGCATCACCTTTTTTGGTGAATGTTGGCTTTTGACACGCTTTGAGCCGGTTCATCTTTTGTGCTCCATGACCTCTTGCATTTAACATTGTTGTATACAACCCCTTTTTCCTCCCCAGTAATAATCCGCTTCAAAAATGCATCATTTTCTTGACGTTTGAGGAGCGAATCACACACGTCAACGCGACGACACAAATTTCGCTCCGTAAGGACATTGGGCACCCACACATCGAGCTTCGAGGTTAAGCCCATGCCTTTCAAATGGCCATAAACAGTCGAATTCGACAAATTTAATCTCTCACCGATCTCTCGTGTGGTTATTCGCCGATTTGCATCAACTAATGCCTTTATCGCATCTTTGTCAGCTTCGACCGGCCTTCCAGACCGTGGTGCATCTTCGACATCAAAATTGCCGGATCGAAATTTTGCAAACCAGTTCTGGCACTGGCGCACTGTTAACACGCCTTCTCCATACACATCCGTCAATTTTTTTCTCGCTTGGACAACATTTTTACGTTTTCTGAAGTAAAAAAGTAGAATATGACGAAAATGCTGCTTATTGCTCTCCATATTTAAAAGGGCACCAACCAAAAACTACTGCGTAGAATTAATAGAACTTTTTCACACACAAGCCTTACAATATCAGCTCTCAAGACATATAATGGTTATGCGGCTTAAGTGTGAAGTTGGTTTCGAAAAAACGTAATTAAGTCCTCTGACGGGAAAAAACGAAATGACTTTCCGAACAACCTTATAATTAAAACTAATCTTAAATCTACTAATCTTATAACTAAAAAAAAGAAGCCTGGAGACCATCATATGATAAATCGCAGTGCGATGACAGTTTGTTGAAGGTAACACGCATATTATAAATAGGGTTTTAAAAATTGGATTTTGGACCTGGCTAACTGTAATTGTTCCAGAAGAAACGAACAATCGACTCCGTAATGAACTTGTAGAGAAATGAAACAGATTGCAAGTCTCGACGCAAGCTCAGAGGCAATACAGCAAACCTTCCCAGCAGAAGATCATGATCAACTCCCCTCTCGTGATCCGCAACGTCTTCCCTGAAGATTAGATACTTCAGTAACCTTCTCTGCACACGCTCAATGGACTGAGTATGGCAGTTATAGTAATTTGAGGTGCAAAAGAGAACGTCTGATCAAATAAAATGCCCAGATGCTTGACAATGGGAAGTCTAGTATATAGAATATAGGAGTTATTGTGCGGTGATGAGAACCCACATAACACTTGCTGATGCAAAGATGGAATTAACCAATGACTGACAATATTAATGTCGAAGGCTTTGTGGAAATCAGTGTATATAACGTCAACTTGACCTTATTCGTTCAAAGAGTCACAGACATACGAAGACAGGGATAAAAACCATGTTGTTGCGTAAATAGTTTCTAATTTGAGCAAAAATAAATTTATTTAATATAATTTAAAAATTGTCAATAATTAGAATGCTACAGACAGACAGATAATTGTTGAAATGGGTCATCAGGTTACCATTGTTTATTTGATGCCATCGAATTGGTGTGGGCTTAGCGCAAAATATTTTTTAATGAACATATTGTGAGGCAAAGCACGATGATACCGCAGTAGTATGTGTTTGGAAGGCAGCTCTCCACGCAGTTACCAAAGAAAATTGGATCAGTTGTATATTACAAACAGTATAATAAATGATGTATGATGTATATATTTTTTATATTGTTGTAGTGTTA